AGAGGAAGGTCAAAATCAAAGCATAGAAGCAAGAGCAAGTCAAAGTCTGGTCAGCAAGCAACCTGCTGGAATTGCGGCAAAACTGGCCACATAAAGAAGAACTGTAAAAATCCTAAGAAGACGGAGAACGTCAGTGCTAACGCTGTAACTGAAGAAGTACAGGATGCGTTATTGCTTGCAGTTCATAACTCTGTTGACGACTGGATACTGGACTCAGGGGTTTCTTTTCACACATCTTCTCACCGGGAGTTAATGAGAATCTATGTTTCAGGTGACTTTGGGAAAGTGTACCTGGCTGATGGAGCAGCTTTGAACGTGGTGGGGATGAGAGATGTTGAAATTGCACTCCTTAACAGAAACAAATGGATCTTGCAAAAGGTTAGACACATTCCTGAACTGAAAAAGAACCTTATATATGTTGGGCAGCTTGATGAGGGAGGCTTTTCAATAGTTTTCTCTGATAACACCTGGAAGGTTACTAAAGGAGCACTGGTACTGGCTCGAGGTAAAAAGACTGGTACGCTATATATGACAACTGGTCTAATTAACAATGTTTTAATCTAATTAACAATGTTGATACCACAGTAGCAGAGAGCACAACAGACATGTGGCATTGCAGACTTGGCCACATGAGTCATAGAGGTATGAAAGAGCTTCAGTCTAGAGGCAAGCTACCAGAACTGAAGTCCGTTGATTTCGGCATGTGTGAAAGTTGCATCATGGGGAAGTAGAAGAAGGTCAGTTTCTTGAAAGGTGGCAGGGTGCCAAAGGCAGGAAAACTAGAACTGGTACACACCGATGTATGGGGGCCTTCCCCAGTGACATCTCTTGGAGGCTCTCGCTATTACGTCACATTCATAGATGACCACAGCAGAAAGGTATGAGTTTATTTTCTGAAACATAAATCTAATGTATTTTCTGTGTTCAAAACTTGGAAGACCATGGTTGAAACGGAGACAGATCTAAAACTGAAATGTTTGAGATTTGACAATGGTGGTGAATACATTGATGGTGGATTCAATGAGTACTGTGCAACTCAAGGTATCAGAATGGAGAAGACCATCCCGGGGACACCACAACAAAATGGAGTTGCAGAATGCATGAATAGGACCATCAATGAGCGTGCTAGGAGCATGAGATTGCACGCAGGACTACCACCAACCTTCTGGGCAGATGCGGTCAACACTGCAGTTTACCTAATCAACAGAGGGTCATCTGTCCCATTAGACTGTAAATTACCTGAGGATGTCTGGAGCGGCAAAGAGGTCAAATTTTCTCATCTTAAAACTTTTGGTTGTCTTTCTTATGTATGGCCGTTTAGATGTGATATGAAACATTTTGGATGTGTAAATACATAAAAATTGAGCAACATACTGTCAAATGAATTTTGTTTAAATACTGCTTAATTTTTACACAAATTCTGTTACCAATAGCCTCTTTGCATTTTCAACTGTTGGTTTGTGGTTTTCATAAAGCTTATGAGTGGAATCATAGGGAGTATATCATAATAGTGGATCTGATGTATTATAAACAAGTTCATTTATATGCATACCATGTAGTTCCTATGTATTTACATATCTAATATGTGGACATTGCTTTCTACATTTATACAACTCCAATCTTTCATTTCACACCAAAGGCATTTTTTTAATTAAAAAAAAAGTGAAATATAGCTCTTTTTTATGCAAAGGAATGGTAATACATATATGTAAAAACTGAAGTTTAAATGTCAGACATGTAAACACATAGGAATTTGGTAGTATGTAAGTAGCTGCCTTAATCTCTCCACCCCTTTGTCTCACCATCAATTGTAGAGATGCTTGGATTTATGGAGAAGGTTTAAAATTTATCTTTGCTCCATGTCGATTTGGAAAAAGTTTGAGGGCTGCTTTTGGCTCTCTATATTTTTTTCTTTTGAATTGAAAAATACTTGTAAGTTATCTTTGCTCCATTTTAATTTGGAAAATGATTGATAGCTACTTTTGTTGAGGAAGGTGGAGACCCGGTCCACTTCCTATTACGGCAGATTCGTAGAAATCATTTGATAAATTGATTCTCATTTAATCTGCTCTTAATTGGGAATTTTTCTTAATAGGCAGCTTTTGATTAAATTAATCTAATTTAATCATTTCCTGTTAAAGCTTCGCATAAGGATCTTGCTGACCCCGCGTTCTTCAGAATTCACAAATAAGGATTTATAATTTCCTTGTTATGGGCCTCCTAAATATGGTTAATTGAGATGAGAATAGAAAACATGTAATTTAGCTAATAAATTAGATTTCTTCCCAGCTGTGGCGTCACATGGCTTCCAAAACCGGGCTTCTTCCTTATTGGGCTAAATAGGAAGAGTTATATTTATGGATGCTGGAAGAAATCAGATTAGCGTGCCTCTACTCCTGTTTTCTTCTACTTGGTTGGTTCACGGC